TCCGCTATTCTACTCTCTTGTCTTTACATAATAGGGATGCAAATGCTAGATTAATTGACACACAGAAATTTCACGTATTAATTTCCATCATATTTGATAGTTATAAAATGTTTTCTTTATCTGATTTTAGACCTAGAGCTGCCCTGGAGTTGTTATTTCTATTTTGGTCACTTGGTTCAAGTCTGGTGCTTACTGTTTTAAGTTTGTTAAATCTGAAGTTCTCTGGTTGTTTCCTATATATGCATCTCTTGTCTTGGTGTTTGCTAGCTTAATAAGGATACTGTTAATGCTGCTAAGCCAAAACTTGGTTCTTCTGCTGCCATCTTTGGACTTGGAGCTGTTGGCCTTCTTGTATGTGATCCTTATGCCTTTGTTTGTTTGTGTGTGAGAGTGACCATTGTAATTTTTATACAACTGATAAATGGCCAATGTTAACTCTTGCTCGTATCATGATGTTTGATCTAAATTGTAGGCTGTTGAAGAGGCAATAATTTATACTGCATGAACAATTATTGGGTTTAGGGTTTAGTTTCCATTGGAAAATCGTGAAGAAGAACATCAACCACTTCTACTCACTTCCATCAGACACCATCGATTCAACCATTATATTTGATGGTATTATTAATTAAACTAACTATACAAAATTGCATACAATTCTAAAACTATTTAGTAATTTATCATATCATTTTATTTTAACGTATAAAATGATATTCAAAGTATATATATAAATATCTATTGTTAAATAACATATGTAGAAGAGTTTATATCACAAGTGTAATGTCATCAAATACAACAACTGAATCAATTAAGTTTGCATTCTATAAAAAAAAATATTAAATGTACTATTTCACTAATTTAACACTATGGTGTTAATGAATCCTTACCCATATATATTAAAATTATATATAATAAACAATTGGCATGCATAATACAAGGCTAAAATACTAATTAAATAAATTTAAGAATTATATATTGAAAGAAATAAGAAGTTAAAAAAAATATTAAAATATATATAAAAATTATTTATTCAAAGAAGTAATAAATTAAAAAGTATTGAAGTAAATATAAAAAATAACATAGTTGTTGTGATACTAATTTTAATTTATTGCAATATTTAAGAGATAAAAATGCATTTAAGTATAATGCGTTGTTTCTAATTACTTTTTTTTTAATTTAACACAATAAATTAGAGAAAAAAATATCATTTTACATACCGTAAATCTGCACTTAATTTAACAAAAAATATCATTTTTAATTTAATAAAATAAATATACAGTGTTCTGTTAATAATTTTATAAAAATCATAATCCAAAAAAATAATATATTAAATTAAAATATAAAATTTAAATAAAAAATATAAAGATGTAGAATCAATCATAGGAACAAATGAAAAATATAGGATTAGAACAAGCCAAGTAATTCCCTTATAAGCAAGGTGGTCTAATAAGATTTTGGTTGATGATATATACATCTCTTTTTTTTCTATAAGTACACCTCCTTTTAAAAAAATAATTAAATTTTTTAAATTTTTTTTAATTTTTTTTTAATTTTACACCGACAACATTTTATTTAGTACCTTTTTTTAACACATTTTCCTTTTTTTTTCTTTCAATTTTTATATGTACCCCTTTACCTTTCTTTCACCCCACCTATTTTGTTAATATGTGAAAATTGAAAGAGAACAAAAAGTGTATGAAAAAAAGAAAGTAGCAAATTAAAAGTTGAAGGTGTAAAATTAGAAAACTTAAAAAAAAAATACAATATTTTATAATTTTTTTAAAAAAATAAAGGAGGTGTACTTGTAAAAAAAATGGAGGTGTATATATCACGAGGCTAAGATTTTCCCTGTTACTTGTCATATATGGGCCTGTGAATATTTTGTGGGCCCATTATGTCCCAAAGATCCTCGAACGTGTGTATATTATTTTCTGTACAAATTCATAGCTGTGTATCATCAAGGACCACTATCATGTGACCAATTAATATACAGATTTGCAATTAGTTTGTGGGGTTTGAAATAAAACATTGAATAGGTGCACGTGGAAAATTTTAGTGCACAAATTGTGATTTCTTCATCATCACCATAGCTTTTGTTCTACTTGCATTGGTGGAGTTGTGTCAATCGTTTCTGATATTTTTTTTTCGTATTATATAATTGACACTAAAGCACAATGAAACAGTTACAAAAGTCTCTCACCAAGCCTCATAAAATAATGTCAAAGAGCATAAATACATGCACAAAATTAAAGACCACAATATTGATTGATATTGTGGTTAGACTTTTTTTTTAATATAGAAAATTGATATAATGAGAAGGCAATCATAATATTATTGGTAGAGTGTTAATGATATATTGGAGATGTTAATAAAGGTCTATTTAAAGTTTAAAAGATTATTACACATGTCTAAGCAATAAATAGTTTCATTTAGTTGCAGTTATGTGGTGGTTAAATAGCACTTATATATTTTAGGATGATTTATTTAACAAATATTTCATTACTAAAATTATATTATTGTGAGTGAGATTAATTTTTAACTCAATAAATTTAGAAATATTTATGACATTATAAAATATAATTGCACATAATTGAAGGGACATACTTATTGTTAAGGTGCAAGAACCATTGTCTATTGTAATTATAATTTTTATTTTATATTTTAATTTGCTATGTATGTAGTTTTATATATATATATATATATTAATATATATATATATATATAACTCTTCACACTTTTTTTTTACGTGAAATTGATTTTCCATTCATGAATTGGACAACAACCACAAATCATTCAAAGAGAAGAAGTGAACCATAAATTTATAGCCTAAATCTCAAGTTAAAACATTATTTACCTATAATTTGTAAAACATCATTTACATGAAATTACATCATGTTATGTGTCATGAATTTTTATGATAAGTTAAATTAAATCAGCCTCAATTTTTTTAATTAATTATTTAAATGAAATAGACTTTCCTTTACATAATTATATTAATCAACAACTAAATTTCTTCAATTAATATTAACCATGGTAAAATCTTAAATTATAATAAAACTCTTTTTTTTTTTTCCAGAAGTTTTGCCTAGCTAGTATACCTGAAATCTGTAGTCCTTCAATTATGAGTTAGCTGATTCACTTGCGTACAAGATTGGTTTTTAATACAATGTTGCGTATCAAATTCATTAGAAGATAACATTAAACATTTGTTTGTCATTCTTCTTTTCTAACTCTTTCATTCTCTCGTACAAATTAATACTTCATCCTATATGCCTTATATATAGTTATTAATATATAAAAAATAGTAAAATTTAGTCGCATAACCATACATAAGATCTTATAGTTATTATTTGATCTTGTCATCCCTGTCCTGAAATATTTATATAATGATAATGGTAGTAAAAACTGCAAACTCATATTTTTCATTTATGATTGTAGGTCTTGGGACTACTGTTAATGCTGCCAAACCAAAACTTGGTTCTTCTGCTGCAAGGAAAAACAACTGAAGATAATATCCTGGAAGAGAAATCAGAAGTTGATTAGTTTTGGTACTTTGAGAAATCAGAAGTTGATTAGTTTTGGTACTTTAATTTCATGTAGCTAATAGTAATGTTTAGAATGCTACGCACTCAAACTACAACATCCCATATGTACATGCACTAAAATATAATTATATCTCAACTGAAGTGAGAATAATTCTTCAAAACTTGCATTCATATACTATAATGATCTTAAAAATAATGTTCTAAGATGGAAAAGAAATTATTAGGTTTTAACATATTGTTGTGAACTAATTGGCATCAAACAGGTTTGGATCATCCTTGTCCTGAGATATTTATGTAATGATAATGGTAGTAAAAATTGCAAACTCATATTTTTCATTTATGCTTGTAGGTATTGGGACTACTGTTAATGCTGTCAAACCAAAACTTGGTTCTTCTGCTGCCATCTTTGGACTTGGAGCTGTTGGCCTTCTTGTATGTGATCCTTATGCCTTTGTTTGTTTGTGTGTGAGAGTGACCATTGTAATTTTTATACAACTGATAAATGGCCAATGTTAACTCTTGCTCGTATCATGATGTTTGATCTAAATTGTAGGCTGTTGAAGAGGCAATGATTTATACTGCATGAATAATTATTGGGTTTGATTTAGTTTCCATTGGAAAATCTTGGACTCAGTTGTTGAAGGTGAGTTATGAGCATCTTTTAATTCATCACTTTCCACCTCATATAATAGTGATGCCTTTGCTTGTCTGCATGTCTAAAAATGATGAAGTCGTGTTCCTGGTAAACTACTGGAGTTCCAAAGTTGTTCTCTATAATAGGAGATATAATAGAATAGACTATACTGAACATTTCAGGGGTTGACGATTCTCTTGTTATTATTTTGAAAGTTTAGTTTTGCTAAATTAAGTTATCCTTTTCTTATATGAATTTATCTTAAATAATTAGCTTAGAGGTTTTAGAGGCACCTTTGCCATTTTATATATTCATATATGGAAAGGTTAGATAGCATGAATAATTTTGGTATTGCTTTGTTAGTTGACTCTATTGGGCTGTTGCTCCTAATTTTATTAGCTTTCATTTTTTGCTTCTCATCATAACCAATGCAATGCAAATAAAACTCTTTTTTTTTTTTCCAGAAGTTTTGCCTAGCTAGTATACCTGAAATCTGTAGTCCTTCAATTATGAGTTAGCTGATTCACTTGCGTACAAGATTGGTTTTTAATACAATGTTGCGTATCAAATTCATTAGAAGATAACATTAAACATTTGTTTGTCATTCTTCTTTTCTAACTCTTTCATTCTCTCGTACAAATTAATACTTCATCCTATATGCCTTATATATAGTTATTAATATATAAAAAATAGTAAAATTTAGTCGCATAACCATACATAACATCTTATAGTTATTATTTGATCTTGTCATCCCTGTCCTGAAATATTTATGTAATGATAATGGTAGTAAAAACTGCAAACTCGTATTTTTCATTTATGATTGTAGGTCTTGGGACTACTGTTAATGCTACCAAACCAAAATGGTGTAACACTTAATAAAAGTTACACCGGTGTCATTTGAATCCTCCTCTATATATATATATATAAAAGGAGGGATCCATTTACTCTAAGTAAGTCTACTTAAACTTATTTTGTTCAATAAATCATGTTTTATATTAAATTTCAATCCGTTGAATTTAAAGTTCTTAATGTATAGATCAAATATGTAAAATTTTAAAAATTTGAAAATTATTTGATATTTTATTTCATTTATTCAAATTGATGGAAAATCATAAAAACATGTTATCTATTAATTTGAATTAATAAAACGAAGTATCAAATTATTTTCAAAATTTTTTAAATTTTACATATTTGATATGTACATTAAAAACTTTAAATTCAATAGTTTGATCGTTGAAATTTGACATAAAGTATGAATTATTGAACGAAATAAGTCTAGATAGACTTATTCATAGAGTAAACAGTTCTCTCTTGTATATATCATAAGAGATCTCCCAAATCTTTAGTATGATGATCAAACCGTCCAAGGAGGAGGTTGTTTTCTTTTTTATCAACTCAACCATTGCATTCGGACAAATGAATGTAATCCACTAATTCACAAGACAAGACCAATAAAGATGGCTCTCCTACCATTGTTTTTGTCTTTTCTCCCCACCTTCCTTTTAATCTTATGAAAGTTATTGTTGCCTCTAAAAATTTACTAACTTGATAGGTGGTTAAGCAATTCATATGGAACCAAAAATAAATGCACAACGGCCAAAACTAAAAAATCAAATCCATATACCGTCGATTGGATGGAAATTTGCACTGTTAAAAGAAAAAGATTTCAATTTAAAAAAAAAATAACTTCTCAAACTAACATCGAATTTTTAAGTTAACAAAATTTTATATTTTGATATTATGTATTTTTTTTTTTTTATGTTTTTAGATAAAATTAAGTATAAAACAGACAAAACATATAACTTAATGTTCCGGGTGCAGAACACTTGTCTCCTTACTCCTTGCTTAGCTGTCTTCCAGTCTTTCTGAGTCTTCCGTGCCGACTGAATCACTAACTCCGAATGGTGGGGAGGGTACCTGCAAAGGCACTCCGACGATCAAGTCAGTGTTCGGCTTAGAGCAATAAATGTGCTAGTGGGAATAGTCACGTACCTCATTTATGTCATATCACCTGTATATTTATAGTGACATGTTTGGGCCTGGTGGGCCTTCATTCTTGGGATGCGGGTAACACGTGAATTAACCTTAACCCTGTCTTAATTTGGCCTGGTGATTAGTATCTTAGTAGGTATCTGGTTTGCCACGTGTTCACCAGTGTTTGATTTGCCACGTGTTCACCATGGGTTTTTCACTATGCTTTCGGCTAGGCATAAGGCCGAAGGGGTGTTCGGTCAAGCTTGGGACCGAAGAAGTGTTCGGTCAAGCTTGGGGCCGAAGGGGGTGTTCGGCCAAGCTTGGGGCCGAAGGGGTGTTCGGCCAAGCTTGGGGTCGAAAGGACGTTGTTGAGTAACTACTATTCTTTGGGTCTTTCCCAAGGGACCAGAAGAGTGTTCGGCCTAGCCTGAGGCCGAGGGGGTGTTCGACTAGGTATGGTGCCGAGGGGGGGGGAGCTGTGGTTCATCGGTTTGGGCCCCCCTCTCGGCCTATCGTCTGACCGAGGGGGTGCCACGTGGTATTACTCTTCGGTTCGGGCCCCCCTCTCGGCCTATTGTCTGACCGAGGGGGTGCTATATGGCGTGGCCCTCCGGTTCGGGTACCCCTCTCGGCCTATTGCGTGACCGAAGGGGTATCCACCGGTACACTTAACAAGAGTAATGGGAAAATATTCAGCAGATAGATTTCGATAAAAGCAATAATGAATACATATAAGTATGAAAACTTAACAATATTACAATTTCCTATAACATGTTTTGATTTAATTCATTTTCAATAAAAAAAACATTGAATATAAACAAACACATATTTTGATATTGATAAACCTATTATATTAAGACAACATGTTGAATATATGAAACAATATTTTTAGATTTTTTTATTAAGATATATTAACCGAACATAAACACATATAACTTATATAGTATTTTTTTGATATTTTTATATTGAATTTATATATATCAAATATAATATAAACATATAGATTGATACATATAAATATTTAAAAGAAAGGGTTGTCAAAAGAGAAAGAATCATAGAAAGACAAATAAGTCATGGATAGAAGACAGGGTCATAGATAGTATAAGAAGGAGTTATCGAAAGATGAAAGAATTATAAAAAAACAATGAAATTGAAAAAGAAGAAATTAATCAACTTGATGAGTTACATACATTGCTTTTTCAAGACCTGTAGTCCCATATGTGTGGTGCGAATGATGTTTGGAATGTAGTGTAAGATGTAATCATAAAAGAAAATGATGATTTATGTTCTTTATTTATGAAATTCATAGTCTAACAATGTGTACAATAACTACATACCTAATCTATTACAAGATAGTGACATGTGTTAAGTTGGTTACATGTTTGAAAAGTAGTTAATAACTTATTTCTTTAAGTGTAAATAGTTGCTCTACAATCAATCATGTTTCTCGAGAAGTTTTGTCAAGATTTCAAGATAACTATCTATAGAAATAATAAAGACAATAGAAGAGAGATTGAATAGTGTCTATAACAAAATCAACACTTTTTAAAAATAATTAAGTAATAATGAGGTTGTGAGAATGCAATTAAAGAGTAAAAAAAGGGCATAAGGTATTTTTATATTAGTACATCTTAACCATCGAAACTACGTCTAGTTCTTGATCAATCTAATCAAGTTCCACTAACTTTTACAAAGATATACAAGTATTCCTTTATAAGTCACTTCTGACTCAACCTAAACATTCTTTGAGTTGTCTCTTTAAGTAGCTATCCAAGTATTCTTTGAACAATAAAGTGTCTTCAGACTTTAATAACCAAATATTTTTTACAACAAAGTCTCCCCAGGCTTCAAACAATAACACAAAGTTAAAGCTAAGAAATTATTTGTTTTGTCTTACTTTCAAAACGTGACACAAGCAAATTAAGTACATGATTTTACAAAAAGAATGAATAAGGATTTTACAATTGTTGTTTTCTCTTTGTTTTTGAGACTTCAAACTTCTTCATATAGGGACTTCATGAAGATGATCATTGCAAAATCTTAAGCATCTCTCACAGGGTTATTTCATCCATATTCATTTTTCTTCCTTATAGGGAGCATGTTTGTTGGTGCATTATTGAATATGAACATTAAATGCGTTTTACCAAATTGTCACTTCTTATTTGATCTAGGAAACTATTTATCACTTTTAGGGTATTAAATGAAAGGAACTATTATGTGTTAGTCAAAAATGACATTCTTTAATAATTCTCATACATCAAGGGATTTGTTTGTCCTTTGTTTGCTAGAAAGTATGTCTTCATCCTTTTTTTTTTAGTGTGAGTATTAAAGAAGCTTTTATTTCTTTTGATATGTTAAGGAATAACATAGACAAAGATAATTTGATTATCATACATCATAAATGATATATATTAAATGCATTCATCTTATACATACAAAGTGGTTCATCTGAAAAGATTACATGTTATCATAACCAAATCGTTTATTCTAATTTGTCGTATAGTATGATATGAAAAATATGTCTTTGATAAAAACGTCTAAATTTGTTAACATTAAAACCAATAACCTTGAGGGATCCAATATAATTTTTTGATCTAACACTGTCAAACTGCTCAAAAAAGTATAATTGCCTTTTCAAGGCAATTCTCAAATTCTAAAACAAATTTTCTTGAGATTCTAATGTGCCCAAAATTATTATTATTTTATATCTTTATCAAATCATTCTTTTTTTTTTTTTGCAACATAAATCTCAATAAGTAATGGTTGCATACTCAACCAAAATATACTTTTATTGTTTTTCGAAATTGGTTCAAGGAATGGGAACAAGGCAGAGAGCACAATTAGTTTATTTTTCTCTTATTTTACAAAGGTAATTTCATATTGAAATGTATAAGTCAATAATAATTGAATTTTTTTTTTGCATATAACACATAACAACAAATTACAAAACCACAAGAATTAAAACCAAAACCAAAACCTATGGAACACGTACCTAGTGATGATGGTGGCGAAAGATAAGGGAGAAAAAGGCGACTAGTGGCGGGAACAACAACAAAGAGAGGGTAAACACAAGGGGTACAAACAACATCAACGACGGTGAGGAGAAAAGAATGAAGAGTGGAGATGACTAGCATCAACAACAAGGACAAACACGACTAGCAAAAGAAGAGAATGTGAGAAACATATGCAACAAGAATGAACGAGAATGATGGAAGGTGCATATGTCCAAAATTATAAAGGACTTTTAAAATCGATCTTCTCATAAATCGATTTTGTGTGTGACATATGAAATTGGTCATAGAAGTAACCAATTTCGTATGTGACATATGAAATTAGGTGTCAACAACCAATCTCTTATGCCCTGCATATGAAATCGGTTACTTCTATAACTGATTATGTATTGACTTTTAAAATTAGTCATAAGCCAACCAATTTTAAAAGTAACGCAATTAATTATAAAATTGTCATTTCATCTCTTTTTAAATTGATTGTTTTATGAATGATTTTAAAAGTCGACATTGTATCCATATTTTGCTCCAATGATTAAACATCCTTTTATCCTTACAAATGTATAAAAGTTTACTTTCAATCTCCAACTTTTCAATATTGTCAACTTTTAATATTCTACTTTTAAATATATTTAAAGAAAAATTGCAATGATCTCTCTAAGGTCTTTTTAACTAATATATACCTCCCATTTAGTTTTTAAATGAATACTAATCTTTTTTTTATTTATTTATCTAAGTACACATACAACCTCTTATATAAGGTAGTACCATTTGTACACAATTAAGATAAAATAAATTATTAATGCAAGTGTCAATAATTGAATGAAATTTTATCTCTTACTCAATTTTAACTCTCAAATTATATCTTAAATATCATGTTTGTTATAATTTAAAAAATATATCAACTTCAAAATTAAAGTGAAAATTTTCATTAAAAAAAAAAACAGAACATTGGATATAATTAAGAAATGAAGAATAAATGCATGATTAATAGAATATGAATTGATTTTTATTTTTTTTATTACTTCAATAATCACATTATTCTATGAGAGGTGTGTAATTTTAAAAAAATTAATGAAGAGTTATGTTATATTTAAAAATATTTCAAGAGGAAATAAGTGCAACTTTTCCAATATTTTATGCATAACTTTGCGTAAAGTAAAGGAATCCAACCAAGACTTACATTACGGACAAACAATCTAATTAAAAAAAAAATGTTAAGCAACTCAGATCAACTTGTTGGCCTTCGTACTTGGTGCAAGGAATTAATAATCTCTAAACAATGAAACAATAATTGAATTAAAGACTATTAAACATTATATGTGATCTGATCCTATCAAGAGCTTTGACTTTGTGAAATGCTTTCCTCGTTATTAGTTTAATTAGTGCCCTCATTAAGGGTCTCTCGTCTTCTTGGTTATTCATTTTTGGTGCCATAAGCATAGTGGGAGAGAATGGTTAGGGTTTGGAACTCATGGTGGGTTTTTGTTTCTGTGCTGCTTTTGTTCCATGTCACCTCTTCGCATTTCATCGTCAAGAATTTACCAGGTTTTGGGGATCTTCCATTCACATTGAATACTGGGTCAGTTAGAAACCTTTTTTTTTTTTTTTTTTTTTTTGTGTGTGTGTGTATTAATTTCTTGTGGTATATTATAATATAAAGTTAAAATGTTGTGAGCAACATATAACATATAATAATCATATATAGATACATTGGTGTGGGAGAAAGAGAAGAAGTGCAGCTATATTATTACTTTGTTGAATCTCAAAGGAGTCCCTTGAATGACCCTTTTCTTCTTTGGCTCGTTGGAGGTCCAGGTTGCTCTGCACATTCTGCTTTCTTCTATGAAAATGGTAATAATCTTAATTAGTAGTGTTTTCATATCATTGTTTTTAATAATGTTCCAATCATGTTTTCCTATTATATATCATTCTTTTCTTGCTAATGCTTTTCTTATTTTTAAAAATACTAGTTGAAAAAAATTAATTACTTGTTATTGTAGAAATTTTATGATGAATATAAATATAGTCAAAATATACTTGAACAATTTTCATCATCTCATAAGTTAACTTTTGAGATTGAGAAATTTTAATTTTAAAATTATTATTTTTATTTAATTTTAATGGTGATGATAGTATATAACATTTTTACATAGCCAACTAATTAAATATTATTGTTAATAAATTTTTTAATTATTTATTATAAGAGTAATTTACGTTTTCTTCTCCTAAAAACAAAAGAATATTATAATATTATACTCTCTTATATTAAAATATGCAATTTAGTGTCATTATAGGTTGGTACGAAAAATTTAGGATCTAATTCAAGTTTGTATTTTTCATAACGTTAATTTGACATTCTCTAACACTAATAGAATATCAGTTTGACACTAAATGTGATATTCTTTGGGTAGATCTGCGTGGACCCCCATTCAACAACCAAAATCTTAGTTCAAATTGAATCTATTATAATCATATATTCAAAATAAAGTTCACAAAGTGAAAAAGGAATTACGGTCATGAAAAACTTTTTTGGTCCCTAGATGTTGACATATGTTGCATAACATATATAAGTTCATGAGATTTAATAGTCGTTTTAGTCTTTCACAATTTTAATATTTAAATGGAACTAAAGTGTAATTAAGTTATGTTAGTATAAATAGGTGACAGAAATAAGTTGATATATAAACTTAAGTAGGTGACTAACATATTCAGAATAACTCGATCATTTGGAATATGAGATTAAAGGTAGAATAATTGGTGCATTTTGTTTAAACTAGATTATAAAAAGCTAGTTAAAGTAATTAATTATAAACTGACAGAGTGATTTAGCAAACACAGATTCAAGTATTGTACGTTGAAAATCTTGAACACACGTTTATTTGGATGTGTATATATTTAAAATACCATCACAATAATGTTGATATTAATATTATGAATGAAGGGTCCTCATCACGTCCATTCTAATTCGGTTAATAATTGGTTTTCCTTACGTGGCTGAATTCGGTTGGTTAAATTGTAGGGCCATTAATTTTTAATTATGAGGATTTTAATGGGAGCTCTCCAACACTTCTATTGAATCCGAACACTTGGACAAAGGTGAGAAACTACAAGCTTATAAACGTTTTTTTTTTTTTTTTTTAATAAAGAATTTCTCTAAAAAAATATTTTTTATTTTTAATAAAAAAATTCTAAAAAATACTTTTAACTTATATCCAAACAAATTCTTCTATGTATAGTATACGTTTCTAATGCGTTAACTAAATATAGAAGTAAAATTTCTTCCTACATAGAAAATGATGGGTAAAATTAGAAGCACAATAAATATTAAATCTAACACTTTAAATATATTACTCTAACCTCCTATTAATATGTTGATCCTAATTTAAAATCAGAAAGTTTTAGTATAATGTTAATTATTAATATATTCATATTATTTTTCTAGTCTTTTGAGTTGTAAAATAATAAAATTTTATAATGAAGTCATTTTAACATTTTTTTTTCAAGAACTCTGCCAAACTTTTTTTTTTATTTTATTTTATAATTTGAGGTAGAATTTAAGTAATTTTAATTTTTTTTGGAGTTGCAATTGTTGCATGTATAGTCTATATATATAATTTACGTATTATAGACAAATATAATTCTTTTTTGAACATAGTTTAATACTTTAATTGAAGTGTTAGCTTCTTTTATTAAAGTCCATAACTTCTTGATACTTTTAATTCTTAAAAACAACTCAAGACAATTAATTAGTATCATGTCAAATAAATATCTTAAACATTACATCAATAATGAAAATAATATTTAATAATTTATATTAAAAATAATTTATTTTTATATTAGAAATTAAAATGCACAATTTAGAAAGTGAAATTTCCACCCATTCAATTAGACATTTTATATATTTTTTTCCCCTTTCAAAGGTACATTTGCATACAAGTGTTACATCAATCAGAATAAGTTTAATGTTTAAAATGCCTATTTATAAAAGAGATGAGAATAAAACATTCTTTAATTTTATGTAAAATTGCACACAAACTCTTATTTTCTTGACTTTACACTAGTCACGTAATTATTTAAAAAATATTACACTGACATCTCTTAAATATTACATTAATCCCTTAATTGTTTTAAAAAAATTATACATTGATGTAAAAAAAATGCTATAAACATAAAAAATTAAGAAATGTGCGTGTAATTTCATGAATCCTTGAAGTGTAAATGTAGTTTATCCTTGAGATAATGTATGGGGATTTTTTTTTCTTTTTATTCGTTTACTCTATGAGTAAGTCTAACTAAAATTATTTCTTTTAATAACTCATGTTTTACATCAAATTTCAACGATCCAATCGATGAATTTAAAGTTCTTAATGCATAAATCAAATTTGTAATTTTTTTAAAAATTTGAAAAATCATTTGATACTTCGTTTCATTAATTCAAATCAATATATAAAATAATTTTATGATTATTTGTCAATTTGAATTAATGAAATGAAGTATGAATTATTTTCAAAATTTCTAAAAATTTGTAGACTTGATTTATGCATTAAGAACTTTAAATTCAACAGTTGGATCGTTGAAATTTTATATAAAACATGAGTTATTGAATAAAGTAAGTTTAGATAGACTTGCTCAAGTTTAAATAGACTTACTCATGTTCTACATCAAATTTCAATGATCTAACCGTTGAATTTAAAGTTCTTAATGTATAGATCAAATATACAAATTTAAAAAAAAATTGAAAATCCTTTGATACTTCGTTTCATTAATTAAAATCAATGTATAAAATGATTTTATGATTATTTGTCAATTTGAATTAATGAAATGAAATATCAAATAACTTTCAAATTCTTTTAAAAATTTGTTGACTTGATCTATACATTAAGAACTTTAAATTCAACGATTAAATCGTAAAAATTTGATGTAGAACATGAATTATTGAACAGAGTAACTTTAAGTAAGTTTAGATAGACTTATTCTTAAAATAAATATTATTAGGATGACAAAATCACAATTGGTGACATATATACCACCTTGGAACAAGGAATGTCATACTAGAAATTTGAGTATTGATACAATATTAAATCCTTTTGAAACTGATCAACTGTAATTTTGTAATTTTTTTTAAGGTACTCAACATATTATATGTCGATGCACCCGTTGGAACGGGATACTCTTACTCAAAAACACAAGAAGGCTATTATAGCAATGACAAGCAATTGGTGGAACACATCTATGATTTTCTCCAAAAGGTTTGCATTATTGATATTTTTCTTTTGGTGTTATAATTATAAAATATAGTATATGTATTCACGGCATAAATTATTATTACAATGTAATTTAATCACAATTTGTCATATATGATTAAAAATTTTACTAATATTTACAATAATTATTTTGTAAATATTATGTTAATCACATTACTTTATAACTAAATTTTTTTATCCAATGATATATAAAACATGTTTTATGATAAGTCATGCAAGGTCAAATTTACTATATTAGTCTTTGATTATTAATTTTACAGCAATGTGTAGACTATGTATTAAAAAAAAATATTGTTAACCACAGTTTGTGATTAATTTGATAGTATTTTTTATAGTAAGAAAACATTCTCTTAATTAAATTTGATTTGATATTCTTAATAAAGGGTCATTATTAATTTATTATTGTTTTCGTTATCTACACATGATGCTAAAATTTAAGTCTTTATCTTTCCCTCATCACTTCCTCTCTTTAACTCAGTGGCAGGTGGATTACCCTGAATTCAGATCGAACCCCTTTTACATTGGTGGTGGTTCTTATTCAGGCAAAGTTGTTCTTCCCCTTGCTCACAAAATATACGAAGGCAAGTATTAATTATATATGGATTTTTACAATATATATGATTCTACCAATAAAATGATCATAATGAGTAAATTTCACTTCTCTTGTAAAAATACTTAAAATATGCTTTCTCTCATCTTATTTTCAAATATATTCTTCTCTTTTATCAAGGGAGTTTAGCTCACCTAGTTGACTAGTGTGTGTGAATTGGTGTAATATTTTATACTGAATTCGATTCCCACTAATTAAAAAACATTTTTCTCTTCTTTTGATAGATTAATGTTAATTACACTTAACATAAATGAGTTTTTAAATTAAAAAAATGTGAATGTGCCTTTCAATGTTGCTTTTTTTTTTTTTTGCTTTACAAATTCAGATGTCACCGACAATTAGTTTAACCTTTTGGTTATTGATTTAACACTTTTAGAAGGTAGAATGAAGTTTTAAATATCATCTAAAATATTTGTTTTACTTTTTAAGGTCACAAAATTGATATATGATGTTAAAAAAACCTTAAAATCAAGATGGGAGCATTATGAATATAATAAAAATCCGTTTTATATTAAAATGAATTCAAGTGCTTATAACAGAATTTTCTTTTAATAAAATGAATTGTATATTTTAAAATATTAGATAGTGTGTAATTTAAACATCTCTTAAGGAAAAAAGAAATATAATTTAATCAGTTCAAATTACTTCAATTTTTATCAATATATTGTTTACTGATTTTGCAGATTATAAAGCAGGACGCTCACCAATCCTGAACTTCCAAGTACAAAAATATGCTTATGTTTTTTACGTTGTTAGCATTTCATGGATGCCGTGATAATAGTATCAAATATGTTCTATTAAAATTTTTGGATTTTTCTCTTGAATTTTACTATAGGGCTTTGTGCTTTCAAGTCCAAGCATCGACACTTTCCTGGACAATAACACAAAAGTTGAATTTGCTCACCAACGGACACTTATATCGGATGAATTGTATGAGGTTAATTTAATAGCTTTAAAATAATTATAGTTAATTGTTTATCATATATATATATATATATATAATAGGTTTAA